TTTTTCTATTTGTTCTTCCTACTGACTACAAAAGAAATCAAGGCCTATAACTATCTACCCAAACAAAGGTGCTTATAAATAAAAATAGTTAAGGAGGAGAAAAGAAACTGTATCTGTTTCATGTAGGTGGAGGAAACAGATAAAAGAAAGCAACTTTCTTCCTATTTTTCTTCTTTCTAACGCAGCTGGTTCCATTTCATTTAGGTTGTTATCAAGTGAAATGAATGAAAGTTACCAAAATTAATGAATAAATAACATAATTCTGCTAATGAATGCATGGCAGGAGGATGGTGTTGATTTGGCTGCTACAATCAGAGGTGCTAGTTTCTACCGCCGGTCACAAAACCTGGACTTTGTTTCTGATTTCATCCCACCATCGCCTGATGAATTCACAAAAATATTTAATGACTATAGGTAATTACACTTCGACACAAATTTGTACAAATATTTTTCTACTTATTTTCTCTTTGTTGACGACGAGAAAGCCAGTTAATTAATATATTTACCATATATGTGAAGGTATTGGGATTTCAAATTTGTTGATTTTGAGAATTTTAAAGAAGAATTTATGATGTTCCACAATTTTAGGACCACTCATTTATAAACATGTTATGCTTTTTCTAGATTGATTGATTTGGTAACTAGTCCGGTGCTGTTTTCAACTCTAGAAGATGGGAAAATTGTGAGGGGACTCGCAGGTATTCCTGAAGAAGGTCCGGTCCTGTTCGTTGGCTATCATATGCTATTGGGACTAGAATTGGCTCCCATGGTAGGCCAGTTCTTCAAAGAAAAGAACATAATTTTACGAGGGATGGCACATCCTATGATGTTTGTAAAAGTGAAGGAAGGAAGTTTACCTGAATTAGCATCATATGACTCATTTAGAATGATGGGTGCTGTTCCTGTCACTGCCCAGAACTTATATAAACTTCTTTCTTCCAAGGCTCACGTCTTATTATATCCCGGAGGCGTGCGTGAGGCTCTACATCGGAAGGTAAGTTAAGACTGATGAATTGAAGGAACTAATTCTTTTCCTCAAGTCACATCACCAGCATTAAATTTTGGTTTGGTTATCTTTTGTTTAGTTCGTTCAACTCAAACCATTCAGTTTATTTATAAATATCAGGGAAAATGATTTTACATGTAGTTCCACCTGAAATTATTTCTTGGGTCATTTTGTTACATAGAATAGCTCCACTTATAAACTTGTGCAAATTCTTTCTTCCATCATATCAACATGATTTAACATACCGTCTGGGAGCTAAAGACCTCTGTTATTTGACTCTCTTTCTTTACAGGGTGAAGAATATAGGCTATTCTGGCCTGAGCAATCAGAGTTTATCCGAATGGCTGCTCGGTTCGGAGCCAAAATTGTACCTTTTGGTGTCGTGGGAGAAGATGATTTCGGTGAAGTAAGTTTCCCCTCCCCCTGACCCTCCATTTTCATTAATCATTTTTCGCTTTCTTTCACTTTTTCTTGCCTCTAGGTTTAGAGTAGTTGATAAGTAAGAAATACATCTCTATTGGTATAAAGCATTTTGGGGAAACTAAAAACAAAATCACGAGAGCTTATGCTCAAAGTGGACAATATCATACCATTATGGGAGTTCGTGGTTTCTAATATGGTATCAGAGTCATACCCTAAATTTAGTCTTATCAATAGAATCCTCAAATGTCGAATAAAGAAGTTGTGAGCCTCGAAAGTGTAGTCACACGTGATTCAAGTGTCGAACAAAGAGTGTACTTTGTTCGAGTGCTCTAGAGAAAGGAGTCGAGCCTCGATCAAGGGAGACTGTTTGAGGGCTACATAGGCCTCAGGGGAGAGTCTATGGTGTACTTCATTCGAGAGGAGGATTGTTGGGAGGGAGTCCCACTTTGACTAATTAGGGGGTTGATCATGGGTTGATAAGTAAGAAATACATCTCCATTGGTACGAGGCCTTTTGGGGAAACCAAAAGCAAAACCACGAGAACATATATTCAAAGTGAACAATATCATACCATTATGGAGAGTCATGATTCCTAACCACCTATTCGTTCAAAACATTATCTCTTGCTCAATTCTTATCTCTCTCGAAAACTAATTCCTTTTGTTATCAGGTGGTTTTTGATTACGAAGACCTGATCAAAATTCCGTATTTCAAAAACCAAATAGAGGCTCTAACCAGCGAAGCCGTGAGACTGAGGTTCTTTCCATTCTCATCGTTAACGTCATCGATTCGTAAACGCGATCTCACTTTCCATTCCAGGATATTTTTCTAAATGGTCTCGATTATAACAGGGCTGACATGAAAGGGGAGGTAGCAAACCAAGCTGTCCACCTTCCTGGAATTCTCCCTAAACTTCCAGGAAGATTTTATTATTACTTCGGAAAGCCATTCGACACCGAAGGTACGTTTACTCGAAGAACATCGTACTCGTTTTGATGTTGTTCTTGTCTAACTTGTGATATATATATATATATATACTTCCAATTGTTATGCATATAAAGGTCAGAAAGAGGAACTACGAGACAGAGAGAAGGCTCATGAGCTATATCTTCAAGTAAAGGGCGAAGTGGAGAACTGCCTTGCATACCTACAGAGCAAAAGAGAGAGCGATCCTTACAGACGGCTATGGGATCGTCTAGCTTATCAAGCTAAGCATGGCTTCACATCTGAGGTTCCTACGTTCGAAATCTGAGCCAACAAGAACTGTCTGAGATTTAGCAGTTAAGAGAGTGGTGGGGTCAATTCTTCGCTTCTTTTCAGGTAAAAACTTAAACCCATCTCTGTTCTTGTTAGGAATTTGAATATAATGCCATTTTGTGAATGTAAATTCTATTCATTTGCTGAGAAGAACTAGCCTTTGATGTGGGAGACCTTGTATTCATGATTATTCTTGTGCTTGCATTGCAAAATAATCAGATAAAGAATAAATCTGTTTTTGTTTGGTGCTATAAAATTGATATGTTTGGATTGCACTATAACCGTTCGTTTGCCCGTCTTCCTAACGCCTCCCCGAGGACCTTCAGAAATTTTATAACGGGTTCCCTTCTCTTCCTAACACCGAAATTTTATAACAGGTTCTGTAACGGCCCAGATCCATTGTTAGCAGATATTGTCTTTTTTGGGCTTTCTCTTTTGGTGTTCTCTTTGGGTTTTCCCTTTCAGGCTTCCCCTCGAGGCTTTAAGGCTTTAAAAGCCGTCGGTTAGGGGAAGGTTTCCACGCCCAATAGTGTTTTGTTCTCCTCTCCAACCAATGTGAGACATCACAATCCACCCCTCCTTTTGGGGCCCAATGTTCTCACTGACACTCTTTCCTTCCTCTAATCGATGTGGGATTGCCACCAAATCCACCCCCCCTTCGAGGCCCAGCATCCTTACTGGCACACCGTCTCGTGTCTACACCCTTTCGGAGAACAGCGAGAAAGTTGGCACATCGTCCGGTGTTTGGCTCTGATACCATTTGTAACGGTCCAGATCCACCACTAGCAGATATCATCCTTTTTGGGCTTTCCCTTCTAGGTTTCCTCTCAAAGGCTTTAAAACGCGTCTGTTAGGAGAAGGTTTCTACACCCTTATAAATGGTGTTTTGTTCTCCTCCCCAACTAATTTGGGACATCACAGGTTCCGTTGTCTTTGTAACACCTCCTTGAAGACCTTCAGAAATTTTATAGATACTTGTTTATAAAAGTAAAGTTGAGTGCTACTATCGACTTCCGATCTATAGTTTCTCTCTTTTTTTTTTCTTGCGAATTTTCTTGGTAGATGTCTGCGTTATATGAATATTAAAAATATGAATTAAACCGAAAAACATAAACTATGCTAATGGGTTGAGATTAGTTTGAATTTATCATCTTAAGAAGAATTGTTGTTGTAACAGTTGAACTATGCTTGATGTTGATCGATAAATACCCATTTCAATTTACTTATTTCATCAAAATTATGTTTCATTGTTTTGAATATTATGATAAAATCTTTGAATCCAAGTTTAGAATCTTTGTTAACATGTTTTCATCCATATCTAACCTTTAGAGCTTCAACTCATAGCTGAACATAGTACAAAGTCACACCACTTGATTGACAAGATTTCTTTAGTTCATTTGGCCTTTCCCCATAATTTCCATTTCTCTTAATTAAATTTCAAAAATAAAAATATATATTAACTCAAATTGCTTCTTTTTAATTTTTTTTTTTAAAAAAACCTTCCCGCCCTTTTTCTCGTAGTGATCTTAATTAGATTTAACTTTTTGATCGAGAATATATGTCTTAATTAATTAAATTATTATTCAACTAACATCAATATTTGTAATTTTGTATATAAAATAAATGTGTTAAAAATATTTATTTATGCAATGCATAAAAGTTTTGGAAAAAAAATATTTAAAAAAATTGAAAAATAAATTAAAAGTATATAAAAAGAAATTTGAAAATAGTTAAAATATAGCATTTGATTCCATGGGGAGATTTTTGTAAATATATGATTTCTCATATACAATTTGGCCCTAAACAGTTTCTCAATCTCTAAGAGCTAAACAAAAACCGCCACGTGGCCATCATATTCACAACCCTCCAAAAAAAAAAAAAAAAAAA